CCAAGCACAAAGCCCTCACAAATGCTATCAATCCCATGAAGACAGGACAGCACTTGGCAGGGAAGGATTCAATTCCAACCTGCCTCTGTTTGTTTATTCTTAAAATATCTGAACAGTGTTTGAGTTCAGCACCCTGAGTCATTTCACAAGAGCCTCAACTCTAGAATAAACTGCTGCTTATGTTTACTTAATAATCCATTGCTTCTCTGTCAAGCAAGGAGGCCCGATTCAACATCCCATCTGAAGCACAGGTCTCGGAAGACATTTCTGCCCTTGGGGAAGAAAAGAGCATCACCAACAAAGTCCAAACTCTCTGTACAACCAGCCATCATCTGACTTATCGATGAGCCAAGCGGGTGATGACAGACCCCACCCCATCCCCCACCAAGGAGGCAAGATCAAGTTCTAAGCTGGCACCAAACAAAACGACTCTGATCAAAGACAAATCCTAGCTGTGTGGGAGTCCAGTAAGGCACCACTGAAGGCAGATGGGATTGAGCTGAAACCTGTGCAGCCTCAGGTGTGCAGAGGCCAGGGCCGCAGTGCCGGTCACCAGGCTTTACATGTTCACTCATCGATGTGCATCAGGTCCCCGCAGAAAGGCGGTCACCTACAGGGCCTCACAGTTCCTGAGGGCCCCACTGCATGGCATGCATCGATCCACAGCACAGTAATTTGACTACAACCCTTCGCATTCACTCACTCCCTGACTATCAAGTTTAAGAGATCAAAAACCTGCAGAAAAAGCAGATGAAGGGTCAGTAGAGGTTTTTGGCAAAAATCATTGTTGGCATGTGGGTCAAGGAAAAGACTGATGCACTCTGGGAAATAATACACATCTTCAGTGATGTGACCTGAGGTATAAGAAGATTAGGGTTAAGTAGGCCTACTTCTGCCAAACAGGCCATTGGTAGGCATTTCTCTAGCATCAGGAGCTTTAGGCTAACTACGTGAATAATGAGAAGTAATGTCTGAAACCAACATAAGATTGTATGTCAACAATATTTCAAAAAAAAAGATTTAGTTTCTTATACACCCCTATTTCTTAAGTATGCTCTGTGTTTGATACTTTTAATTTTGGAGAGTGTCAATTATTTATAATTTAAATGTTTTACATTTTTTACAAAAAATATAATGAGAACTAATGACACTGAAATCAATAAAGCATCCTGCACTTCTTCAGGGCCACATGACTCAACTGATATGATTTAAAGAGCCAATATTTACTGAGCATATTTCAAGTCAGACATAGAGAATACTGTGTGACACGACAGAGTCGCTGTCCTCAAGGTGCTTAGGGTCTGGTGTGAAAGACAAACCAGCCAGCTATTATAACAGGGTGCTCAGTGGAGAAAGCAAAGAAACAGAGTGATAAGACAAACAGGAGGGCACCCAAATCAAGTTTGGGGAGTGGGGAATAGGACAGAACTTCCCCCAAAGAGGCTATAAATAAACTGAGGTCAGAAGCGCTTTGATTGTCCACCTGCCATATGAACAGAATGGGGATGATACTTGCCTATGAAGATACCCCCATAAAATGAGGTTGACAGTTAGCTGCCTGTTTAACTGTCAGTAAAATATGGCTGATATCTTGTGCTACAATCTACATGGACAACAGTAGAGGTCCTTATGTAAATATTAGAAGAAAGCCACAAAGGAAATAGAAATGATGTACTGATGAATTTGCATCACTCAGAAAATCTAGAGTCCTATATGGAATTGGAATCATCTAGTTGCAATTCCGTCATCATCAGAAATATTCCTAAAGAGGCAGAGCAGATGTGAATGAGAACTGTCATCACTATTCAGCAGATTGAAAAGGAGGAGGCAGGCTGCTTCTGCCCACAGCCCATGGTGACCTCTCCGGGGTTGCCTGACCCTCTCAGCCTGTCTCTTCATCTGAAAATGAGATGCTGGATGGGAATGACGACTTCCAAAACACTTTTTTAATTATAATCCATAATGTGAAAATCAGCATGTCACCTGGTGACTTGGTACACTACATCTCTTTATTAAGTTTATTGAATTTGTTATTTTTAAAAATTCTATTCTGACCCATTTCTTGAAAATAACAATGCTGGGTAGACTCATTAAGCTAATTTCATGTCCCCCCGTTTGTGACCCACAGTCCAAACAGTTCCAAACTAGATCATCTTCAAAGGCCTTTTCCAACCCCAATCTGGGAATTGTCAATATGATCATCTAATACTGAAAGCCCGACAATTTTTTTAATGATTTTCACAGGGTTTTCCCATTATACTCAAGGCAGCTCTGTGACATGGGCAGAGGGGCTTATGAGATGCATCACAGATCACACAGCAAGGTTATGACAGAGCTGGGACTGGACCCAGTGGTTGCACAACAGCAATGATGCTTGACTTCTTCAATAGCTCTTCTCTCAGACAATTCCACCTTCGGAAGACCCTCTACCCTCAAGCTTCGACTTAAATGCAGCTCCTAATCTGTCAAAAGTCAGATGCAAATCTAGTGAACACATCCCAAGAATGTAATGTTAATTTTCATATTCATGCCCGTGCTAGACCCTTCAGGAACTACCCTGTGCCAGCCAGAAATGCATGACTACAGTTGCTGCCCTGGAGGGACTCACAATCTGGCAGAAAAAACCATGCAGGGACCTACCCAGTAAGCAGAGCTCCCTTTCAAAGCTGCCCTGCTCTTGTGTTCTCAAGCGATCACCTCAGTTTTTCTGTTTAACTCAGCAAGTCTCCCCATCTGGCTAAATGGGAAGTGCCAACTTCAAGCCTTCCCTGGACTCTTCAGAGCCCTGGCGGGCCAGCTGGACAGGCAGGGGGTGACCCTCCAGGTGGAAGTGAAGGGCAACCATGGCAGTTCCCAGGCAGTGCTGCTCTAAGGGTAACGGGGGGATGCCAACAGGCTCTCTCAACATCACCCCAGATACTCCCTCACCCCAGCCCAGCACCCACTGACTTCAGAAATATGCAAAACATCTTTATTGTCACTATAAGATCAGGTCCCTAGATTTATGGACACCATCCCATTTATGTTATTCAGGAGGAAAAAATTTACATCAAGGACAAGGAACAGGGGCAAGATTGCTTTTAGGGAGCCATAAACCTCAGGCTAAGATGAGACAGCCAAGCCTTCCCTTTTTTGTTTTAAGTTATTTACAAAGCAATAAATTCTGATTGGTAATATACCAGTACTTCTAAGACAATTATTGTCAAAACCGTGGGAGTAGGTAGTGGGAATTTTCTGTTTTGCTTTTCAGCATCCATTCCCCATCCCTCTGATGACAATACACTGATGTACTGTGGGGGAACTACATCCCCTCTATTTGAAACCAGGTGGCATGGGTGGCCCTACCTTGAACTCTACCTTTAACTCCAGGGGTGAGCCCTGACTGGCTTCAGCGGTGGTGATTAGTTTAGGAATGGGAAGGGAATACAACCAGAGGCCATGAGACAGGAGGATTCTTTCTGGGGCTTCAGAGAAAATATCCTTCTTCTACAGGAGCTACCAGAAGAAAGCATCTTTCTATGCCTGGATGGTGTGGTATGAGAAAAAAGGAGAGGGGGGACTATGGCAGCATCGAGGTGGAAAACTCTCCTGAATGGAGCTTGAGCATAAAGCTGAGATGGCAGAAGTGGAGCAGAGAGCCAGGGAGCTGCATCCTCAGCGATGCCATCTGGACTTGCCTGGAACCCTTCCTCTAGACATTTAAAGAATGCTTTTGATTGCTTAAGCCAGTTTGAGCTGAGTTTTCTAACTTGCTACCAACGTATCTCAAATTCGTGAGACACTTTAATATCCCAAAATAGTAATATATAAAAGATTTAATATATAAAAGGGCCCCAAATCTCCTTTGGGGGAGGCAGGAGAATAATGTAATAGGTGAAGATGGAAAGTTTTTTCTTAGCTTCTTATATTCTGCAGGAAACAATCATAACACTTAGCACCTCTCAAGAAAACTTTCTCCACAAATATTTCCTTACTTGAATTTCACAATCCTGAGTCAAAGAAATTATTAAAAATTTTATTTTGTAGTGATTACTCATCAAGCACTTTCTATAATTTAAAATATTTCAAACTCAGCTATTCATTTGATTGTCACAATAACTGAATGAGGTGGGAATGGTGGGCCTGTGATAATACTCATTTTTAGACAGGAGAAAGTTGAACCTCAGAAATTAAGTTAAGATGCCCAAATTAATCTGAAGAGGTTTTGGAGGGAGGCCTCAAACACAGGTCTCTTGCTTTCAGGTTTTAACACCAACAATACTAGACTCTACTTCCAGAAACAAATGTTTGTGCTCTTAGGCACCTCCCTTAGCTAAGGGCTGAACTTGAATTGACCCAAAAACTGGGAGATCCAGATCTGGACTCCAGGGGCAGAGCCAGAGCTAACCAGATGGTGACCTTGGGCAAGTTCCCTTTGTCCTGTTTCTCATCTGTAGAAGGAAAATTTTGAATTAGGACCTTCGAGGTCTAAAAGTTCTGCCATTCTAGACTTTCTTGTCCCCTCACCTCTCAAATTAATCTTTTTCTCAAAATAGTAACTATAACACAGCTGACATTTGTTCTCATTAGGTATCAGTTACTGTGCGAAGAACTCCACCTCGATTTTCTCTTGAAATCTCACAATACTCCTGAGACAACTGTCTTTCAAAGATAAGGAAGCCTGGACTGACAGTTAAACAAACTGCCCATGATAAACAGAATCAGTAAGCATGAAGGGGAGAACCCGACCCCAGGTCGCACTGTCACAAGGACCTGAACCCAGGCCATGTGGCTCTTGCAAAAGGAATTATCCCTGCATTACTGGTCACCTTTTTCCACGCAGAAGAGAGGTGGGGTCAAAAAGCCAAACCGAGTTACACCAAGCCTCTGCGAGACAAAAAGGAAAACCGGCTGGAAGGGCGCCTGGGAGGCGGCTTCCCAGGCCCGGGGGCGGAGCGCCCCTCCCCGCCCGCCACCGGATCGCCGCCTGGGTTTTCCTGCCCTCCCTCCCGGACCGTTACCTTGTTGAGATGCGGGTTCCTGGTGACATCGTACCCGCGCTTCTTCAGGGGCACGGGGCGCGCCGGGCCGGGCTTGGAGTGGCAGCCTCGGGCGCTCGCGCAGGGCGTCCAGCACCGGGAGGCGCCGCAGGCCTGGCGGCGCAGGAGAACCGGCCGCGCGCCTGTGCGCAGCGCGGCGCCCATGGTCCTTGCGCAGACCTGGCCCCGGGGAGAAGGCAAGGTCAGGGCGCCTGCCGGGCAGCCGGGACCCCGCGCGCCGCAGGGCACCCGGTCTGCGCCGGGGACGCGTCCTCCGGGCCACCGCAGGGGTCCCGAAGGGGTAAGGCGCCAGCCCCCGCCCCTCCTCAGCCGCCACCTGCGCAGCGGCCGGTGCGCAGGCTCCGCTGGGTCCCCGGCGAAGCGAAAGCCAGCCCAGGAAGCAGATCCGGTGCGGGGGACTGCCCGCGCCACCCCCGCCCCCGGCCGCGCCCGGAAGGGGCGACGGCGCGGCGAGGGGCGCCCGAGCGTCCGGCCCCGCGCGGTGTCCCGCCTCCGCAGCCCACCTGGGCCGCTCCCGGAGCTGAGGTCTCCGTGGCCCCGGTGCGGGGCAGGCGGGCGAGGCGCCGCGGTCCGCTGCTCGCCTCCCGCAGACGGCCGGGCCGCTCTGGCGGCCGCGAGGACGCGAGGCTGGGGCGCTCTGGAAAGAGCTGCCGAAACCTTTGTTCGCAGTGCGGGCTTCCCCTGAGGAGGCGCGTGGAGCTCCTCGGGGCCGCGTGCGCGTAATCCCCAGTGACAAGACAGGGCTCAGAATGTGCCCTGAGCCTCCGCATCTTGACTAGCTGAACACACAGAGCAGCTATAGCGTTTGTCGATCAGCGTGCCCTCTTGCACCCCCACCATTTCAGGAAGGCCCTGGCTTCGGGATTCGAAGTGGAAATCCTCAGACACCCAGCGATATGTGTTGCCCTGGGTTGCCCAGTACAAAAGCCATGAGCTACATGTGTCTCTGTAAGTTTAAATAAAATTAAAAAATCCAAGTCCTCAATCATGCTAGCCCCATTTCACCTGCGCATAGTAGCAATGGGATCAGACAGCACAGGTATGGAATATTTTTATCTCTGCAGAAAGTTCTATTGGACATCGAATATAGGGTCCACAGTTATGCAAGAGGGCTCCCGGGGACCTCATGGAGCCTGTCATAGATTGTTTCATCCAGACAGGGACCTGGGGGTCCATCTGGTCCTGAATTTAATTTTATACTTTTTCCACACAGTAGTCAGGAGATCCCTTTTAATGCAAACGTTTCATTACATGTGGAATAAAATCCAAACTCTTTTTGGTGCCTAAAGGCAATCCCATAGCCTGGCTCCTGCCAACTTCTTCAAGCTGATCCCACTCTACCCACCTTTCACTCTAGCGCTTCACTTGCCCATTCCCGTGTTTCCACCCATTCCAATTCCCTCTCACCTCAGGGCCTTTGCACATGCTATTGCCTCTACTTGAAATGCCCATCCTCCCAGGTCTCCACTAAGTTTTCAACTCAAAGGCCTTTCTTTCACACCATCCAATGTTAGCCTTCACTAGGGACTATATAATGAAAGGGTTTTCCCTTCATAGAATTTAACACAGCTAATAATTGGCTCATTTTTCTAATTGCTTATTGTCTGTCTCACCCTAGAATGAAAGCTTCATGAGGAAAGGCTCTTTGCCTATAAAGCCCTGTGTCCTCGCTGCCTAGCTCAGTGCCTGGAACATAGTTGCACTATGTATAATAAGTTGCACTAGAATAAACAGTTCTTGGGTGAGTGAAGGGAAGTGACAGCACTTTCCTAACGATTGTGAACTTTCAGGCTGATTACAGGTAGCATGGTCCTCTATGACCTCTCTGTGCAAGCAGCCTTCAGAATGTGTGCTCTGGACTTTTCCTAAGTACAAAGAAGAACATCAAAGCTGCCTGTGCCTGGATGCAGGATTCCCTCCTCTCCCTCAGAATTATCATCTCCTCCTTCATTTCCTCCCCTTTCCAGTCCAATCTCCAGTTTGCAGCTCTAATGATCTACATAAAACAGCGCTTTCCAAAACAGAATTGAAATTACCTAGTGGGAGCATGGGATAGACAAAATACAGATTCCTAAACCCCATCCATGAAAATTCTAATCCAGTAGGGTTTAAATGCCTTAAATCATGTTTATTCTTGGATTGTTCATTTACATATGCCCATAAATGATCTTTTATTTTTCATAAACTAGTTTGAGTCAGACTTCTAGTTGTTTGCCACCGAGAATATTGACTGATTCTTTCCTCTCAACACTATTTTTGTATTTGCACATCTTCCCACCAGTCGACAAACATCTCGAGGGTTGAGATTGTGTGCCTGTGTGTCCGTGTGTGCACTTCCACCTTTGGTACCTCGTACATAACAGTGAATGCTGTTTGTGGAATCATTCTACCTTTGCTTGATACAATGACCTTTCTCTCACCTGGGGGATATTTAATAGGTAACCTCAGTCATTTGAAACTCACCTGGAAGCCAGGATGGAAATAACCAAGTCTTCCCAACAAACCAATACAATTTTTAATACAACCTATTCACTAAAGCATGTACAGTTTACATAGGAATTTCTCACATGTCCCCACCTGTGGCCTATACTCTCCTAACCAAGACATAATTCTAACAATATTGTCTTTCTTTCTTGTGTTTGATCTTTGGCCACAGTAAAGGAAAGATGCTAAAGGCAGGTTCACAGGGGGTAGCAGCAGAAAGCAGTAGCAAGAGGTGACTGCTGAGCTCTACAGAGCTGTCCCCGGGGACTTAGGTTTTTTCTCCAGGTTTAATACCATATCAGCATCCCAGCTAGTGGAAAATGGGAAAAAGCGAATGAAGGGCACTCCTTTAGGAAAGCCATGTGGAAGTTGCATAAACTATACTCGCGCTCTGCTGGTGAAAACTAAGTCATACAGACACATCAAGCTACAAGGAAGCCTGGAACATATTGTTTGTAGTGGGAAAGGCATGTGTGTGCTCTACTAAAGCTCAGTGGGGGAGTCTATTACTAAAAGGAAGAAGGGGAAATGGTTCCTGGGGGCTAGGAACTACAGGTCTAAATATAATACTAATTTTATATTAAAGGGCTTGGCATACAGTAGATGCTGAGAAACTGGTAGCTGTTATTATTGGCTTGTGTGGTTTCCATCTCTGATTTCATGGCAACTGCCTTACTTTTGGAGCTGAACATAGGATTAAAGAGGCCAGGTTCAGAGCCATAGAAACTCTCAGAACTTTTTCCAACTCCATGTAATTCTGACTTCCTTAACTAGCCAGCTAAGTAACCTGGTCCCACACTAGATAGAACTAATGAGTCTCCATAATTTGTCTTGGCCTGTCTCCCTTCACATCCTTTTTACTGACTTCTGCCATGGTTGCAGTGCTGTTTTCTGGGGTGGCTGGAACAGAATACCACTGCATCCTCCCTGGCCAGAGTTCCCTTAGTCCCAGTGTGCTTAGTACCTCTACGTTTTCATTTGGATTACAGATATTTGTGGATCTACCTGTTGTCCTACTAGAATGAGTTCCTTGAGGACTGGAATCACCATTTAAAATTCATTCCATCTCCAGTACCTGGGATAGTGTCTGGCACAAAATGTAGTTTGTTGATTTAAATAAAATGGATTCAAATCAAATTTATGCATAATGTTCCAAGAAATGAACTTGAAGGAAACCAAATTTGGTACATTGTTAAAGAGCCTCAAAGTAGTTTTTGATTTTAGGAATAGAGTTTTAGTTCAATTGGCTATTTTGAAACAAGACCATTTGTCTTTTGTAAGCAGATTTTAATGACTCTACAATATGGGTTTTAAAAAATGGAGATACACTAAGAATTTGTTATTTTTCAGCTAAGCTTTGCAAATGTGTTACAGTCTACACAACACTGTATGTTCAACAGTTGCCCTGAAAGAACTTTTAATTCACATTGCTGCTAGTAATACTTGGAGGTATTTCAACTCTATTGTTTACCCCAGAGGAGAATGTTGAGGGACATTGATTTCCCCCTGTCCGTACATTCACCACTCCACACACATGCCCTGCACTCTGGGTCTTTGCTCAAGCAGTTTCCTCTTCTTCCAACATTTGGCAGGTGGAACCCTGTCTTTCCTTCACATTGCCCCTCAAATACCACACCCTCCAGCAAGTTTCCCAGATTCCTCAGTCTGTAGCAGCTTGCCCTCTCTCCCCCATATATATTATTATTGTATTATTTGTATCTCACCTATTGCACTTTACAGTCTGTCTCTCTGTGAGGTGATCTATTTATGTGCCTGTCTTCTCTGAGCCTTAAAGTCATTTATCGAAATAAAAGCAAGAGCTTTGGGTTCAGACAACCCTGACTTCTCCAGTGATGAGCTTTTGTGACCATGGGCAGTTTATGAGACCTCTGTAAGCCCCATCATCATCATGGATAAAACTGGGATTCTAATACTACTCCCCACATTGGTTTTTGGTGGATTAATTTGTTGTTTTTTTTTAAGTGCCTTATAATTCACATACTTACCACATGCCAGGCCCTGTTTTAGGGACTTATAAATATCTTAATTCATAATTCTATGAAGTACTGAGCTGGTTATTAAGCTGTTTCCCTCAGCTCCAGATCTACCTTTCTATATTCTGGTTCATGGCTAGAGCTGGGCTCTCAGAACTAGTTCCTCCGCATCAAGTTTTTATTAGCTTCTGCCAATAGGGGGCACTAGAGGGGGACTGAAGGCTGGAGAGGGAGATTTCCTCCTTTATTTCTGCTTGCTATCATTTCTTTTCAGTATCCCCCACCCCACCCCACCCCGCCCGATAGCATACCAGTCACCGGTATCAGCCCTTGGTCCCAGCCTCCAGCACCCTTCCACATTCTAGAACAAGCCTCACCCGCAATCTTAGCAGAGGGTCTTTTTCTCCACGTGTCCTGCTTCTGGTGGTCCTGGCCTCTTCCCTCTGCTCCTCCAGCCTTAGAAATGGGAGCTGCTTACTACAGTTTCTATCTAGGGTTGACTCAGGACTCCCTTTCTTCTCATTCAGCCCTCTGGGGAATCAGTTTCTTTCTATTAGATTTGTTGTTGTTGAGCTATTACCTACTGTAGGGTGGTCTCCCTGACTGCACCCTGCTTGATATAGGCTGGTACAATCATTATCTCCATTTGACAGATGTGGGAACAAAACCTGGAGAAGTCAAATAACTTACTGAAGTGAACTAAGATGTAAACTAAAATTTAAAATCCAAAGGTCACCAGGACACTAAGTGCTTACATTTGGGAGGTGCTTGGTCAGGTCTTGTGCGGGCAAGCTCTAAATGTACACTGGGCATCTGATCTACGTCATCATCCTCTTCGTTCCCCTTCAGCCTTGCATCCTACAGGACACCTAGCACAAGGTTGTGTGCAGTAAATGTCCATTGAACTGAATCCGATTCACCTGATGAGGAAGGACAAAGTGGCACACAGATTTGAATTAGAGTTTGAATTAGTGAACGATGTGGAGGAATGAGTGGGGAGCCTCAGCATCCCACCCCCTGATCCAGCCTTTAGAGCTGTTTCCAGGGTAACTGATTCCCCCACTCATATCCCTCTCTCTAACTCCCTGCTACCCTCCCCCTGCCCCATTAAAGGGAAATAACAGTACCCTGGCAGTCTGAAAATGCCACAAGGAGAAATGAAACAGTGACTTTGTTGGGTAACAGAAGAAAACATGTATCTTATTTTTCTGTTGCATTGCATTCTATTTCTCTACTCTCCTGCTGCACTGCCATAATTGTGTGATACCCATTTTAACAAGAAAGGACTATCTTTGAAGTAACCGCATTTCTAATAGAGGTAGCCCACCACTCAGTTATCCCTGCATCCTTTGATCACAAAAACACTTTGAAACCTTTGTTTCTCAACTCGTTCAGCCTTCTACTCAAGTAGTTGTTGTACCCAAAGCAATTGCTTCCAGATAAAAGGATACAAATGCACTTTTTCATAGTTCA